TACACCATCAGAGTCTATAACTCTTCCCCTGGAGATCCATGCAACAGCCAAATCAAAGCAATGAACTGTGCATCAAGCATATATTAAACTATTGTTTTGTTCTCTCAAAAACCTCATCAACCAAAAGTTGCTTTTAAAAAACTACTTTAAATTGTAAATCTCAAGGAATATTTCAGAAGTGTCATCTTAAAGGTCATTATGATACAATAAAGCAGCATAAAACAATTCACGTATAAGCCAGGCTGAGCAATCAATGAAACAAACATTGAACCGCTATTCCTAGCATTAGTAAACTTGTATAGAATTTTGCGTTGAAGGAACAAAACCAACCTAGTAGCCATAAAAATTGAAGTAATATTTTTCCTAAAGAGAGAGGTAAGAAAAGCTAAAAGAGACCAACCCAAGAAATTACCCAAAGGTAGTGTCAAAACACACGAATTGAATAAGATAAGAAAAATATTACCAATTACTTAGGATCAAAGTGTCTCAGCAAAATTTATGCATCCCAATGCAGTATTACTTTTCATTAGAATTGGTTCAAAACCTTTTCTTAAATGTCAAAAAAATAATAATTTTTTTCTAAAATGCTAAACACATCCCACTTTACTCTCGAAGTTTTAGTGTGTTTAATCCTTATAACCAAAATTTCAAGCATTGCCATGGGCCCATATCTATCATTCTCCTCAGCTCTCTCTCTCTCTCTCTCTCTCTCTCTCTCTCCACCTTTCTTTCTTGTTGGCTCTCCAATCCCAACCATGTGCTATTCTCCTCCACATTATAGAAAAATTAATGGTCAAACCCAAAATCACTACTAATCATTCTAAAATCTATCTGTGTATCTAAAAACGTTCCATTTAAAGTCAAATAATCCCTTCTTAAACTTTTAAAAATACTCATCATATCTCATTGACCTCTCAAAAAGCATGGAGTGAAATTCAGACGAATCTTTCATCATGCACATTTACTAATATATACACAATGTACTATGCCTATATATATAGCAAACAGGAAATGAGCAAATAATAAAACTATAATATTCTATTCCTCAATTAGGTTCCTGTATCTAAGGATTTGTTCTATTCCTAAACTAGATCCCCATATCAAGGGAATTATTCTATTTCTGAATTGGATCCTCCTATCAAGGGATTTATTATATTCCTAAATTAAAATTTTGCTAAAATAGTTGCTCACTTTCCAACACTCCCCCACAAACTGGAAAAGAAATATCATCCATTCTCAACTTACATATAATTGTTGAGAGGTCATCGCCATTAAGCCTATTTATAAACACATCCGCAAGGTATTCCTTTGTAGGCACATAGAGAGTACAAAACAATTTGTTGTCTAACTTCTCCTACATAAAAGGTTTATCAATCTCGAGATGAGTTATCCTATAATGTGGTACTGGATTATGAGCAAATATTGATGGAAGAGTTGTTGTCACGGAATAGTCTCGTAGAGTTTACTCACTTTAGCTTGAAATCTTCAAGGATAATCTTTAACCACAATAACTCACACATACCTTGAGCCATAGCCCTGAACTCCACTTCTCACTTAAACAAGCTATAACATTTTATTTCTTACTCCTCTATGTGACCAGATTACCACCTAAGAACGTTTAGTAACCTGTTATTGAACGTCTATCAACCAAAGATCCTACATAGTTGACATCAGTGTAAGCTTTAGGAATTAGCCAATCTTTCTTGAATATAACTTCATTTCCTAGATTAGCTTTCAGGTACTGAAGTATTCGGTTTGCAGCTTTTAGGTGACTTTCTTTAGGGTTGTGCATGAACAGACTTACTACACTCACTACAAAGGCAATGTTGGGTGTGTGCCAAATATATTAACTTCCCAACCAATTTTCTGAACCCTTCTTTATATACTACCGTGTCATTTTTAACCTATCCAAGTTTGTGATTGAGATCAATCGGAGTGGAAGTAGATTTACACACTAATTTACCTATCTCCATCAAGAAGTCAACCACATGTATTAGAAATGAAGATATTTTGTCGAGATCAGGCTACAAATTCAGTCGCCAAGTAATTTTTAAGGGCCTCCTCCTTTTCATCATCCCCGTAAAAATTATGTCATCAACACACAGAAAAAAAAAACTCCTCATAAACTCATGTGTTTAATGAATAATGTATGATCACCTTGATTTTGATTATACTTGACATAAAGCGTCACCTTTATAAACCTATTGAACAAGCTCTTTAAAAAAATAAAAAACATTAAATGGAAAAAATGATTGTTTTATTATTTCAATTATTTCATTTTTATTATGTATTAAACGAAAAATAAATGAATTTAATGATTGAAATGAATTAAATAATTATAAATAAAAAATAATATTAAGTCTATTAGGAGTCGCCCATTTTAGTACTAGTTGGGAATGATATTGTATTCGTGCATGTCAAAGATAAAAAAAAAAAAGTAAATGTTGTAATTTTATGATACAAAATGAAAAAGAAAATGATAAATGTTGTATTTTTAGATACAAAATGGTAAAGATTGTACATTTATTAATATATTTTGATGATGCTTTTGAGATTACTTCTTCAAGGAAAAAGGAAAAAGAAAATAAACAAATATAAATAATATAATGATGAAAATGTAATTGATTAAGATGACTAATAAAGGATTTTAAAAAAATAAAAAAATATAAATTTTAATTTAAAGATTGATTAATATATTTTTTAGCATTCATGTCAAAAATTTATATAATAATTTAATGCATAATAAATGATAATTATTCACTAAGTTGTTTTAAACTACACGTTATTTAACTGTTCTTATAAGAAAAAATATATTAAACTAATATAATTGATATGAGTGAGTTTGTTTACAGGAAAAATAGATAACAATATATTTAGCTTATATGTTTTATAACTTTTATTGTGTTGTTTATTTTTATGTATAATTGGATAATCTTCCATACTTTTAAGAGGATATTTACTTATGTATTATGAATTAGTGATCATTTTATACTTGAGTGTTATTATTTAGTAAAGTTTATTCCCAACATCCGACCAACCGTTCACGCCTTAGTTGAATCCGAATTCCCGCGTCGGAACGTGACAGATCAAGTTGACAAAGATAATGCCCCTCTAAACCAAAGCGACCTAATGATGTTTGCGACCCCCGCCAATCTTCTAGCCAGCAACAACAGCATTCTAGGTTGTCAACTGGTTGTTGGTTTGAGGCAAACATACAAGTTTGTATGCAAAAACAGATGATGGCAGCTATGAAATGCATTGACTTCAATAGACTAAGGGGAGTGATATAGAGTTGTTCCTTTCACTCGTTACTCAATCATTGTTGCATGCTTAGCACTCTAGGTTGTTGCAAATGAGGCCTTCAACAACTAGTATTGCTTGCAACAACATCGAGGTTTCTTAACAAATGGATGAAAACAAATGATGTGTTTAAGGTAGTGCACTAAAGCAATTATATACAAACATTAGAGTCAAAAAGAAAGATTTGTTGCATTTATAGGTACCCTATTTTATCTCATGAAAATAAAACCCTTAAATTCATTATTAAGCAACCTTAATAGAATAATTTTCTGATTCCTCTTGAATATGATTGATTAATTTAATGATAAAAGCTTGCATAAAATTTTGGTATCCATTCTTTTATTCCACACCAATATAATAGATATAAACATCAAATATTACCGTAAGGTTCTTTTTTTTTTTACTTCATCTTTATAAATAGCATCATTATATTGCATTTTTTTCTAATTCTACTCTTAAGTAAGAATGCAACTGAGCTCGGGCCAGTTCCATCAAAAATCGGTACCGTAACTAATTTTATTTGGCTTAAATATATTAATAAAATCAAGCAAACATGAGTTACTGAGAACCAAATCATTTACTTTTAATTTAACTTCGGTTCCATTCAATGTTCCAACTATATCTATGATTGCCATTTACCATAGATCTGTGTCTGCCAGAGAAGATGAATAATTTAACTTTTATTTAAAAGTTTCATCTACGATAATTAAATGTCACGATCCAGCCCAGTGAGATTGGAATTACCAAGGCAGGAACTGACGATTGAACAGAGGAAAACTATCAAACAGTTTCATTTCATCACAAAAATAAAATCCAAAACACAAAATAGTTATTCTAATTCATAAAAAAACTTATATTTGCAATAGAATGTTCATATTTAAACATTTACATTTAAGCAGAAAATAAACTAAACCATAATACTTATCAGCTTGCACTGCACAACACCTGTACACATACTTCTTAGGGTTCATCTGATCTACAGTTTTTTTTCCTGTAAAATAATAGCAACTATGGGTTGCTAAAACAACTCAGTGGGTAAATATTTCTAAATCACAATAATTATCATCTTTAAAATATTTTTGTAAAAGTGCATCAGCCGTAAAATGTGTGCAGTAAAAGAGAGCTGTAAAGAAAACAAATTTCATTTCTTCTCATTTATTTAAGTACATTTTTAATAATTGAAAGTCACCGCCTAAACGTATATTTTATAAAAGTATACGTTTAACATTTTCGAATCACCATAAAAGTAAGCAATTTTTTTTCCATTTTCATTTCCATTTCTATTTTGTGCACGGGTACAATACGATCTCCTGCTAGTTCCATCTAAAGGTGACTCTCATATGCATGCATATATCATATTTATTTATTTTTATCTAGAATTTTACATTTAAAGGAAAACATGCATTTAAAAATAAATATGATTTTTTGCATTTTAAAAATAAAAAACTAGAAAAGAGTAAAAACATGCGTAAACAAACAGAACTTTTGTAAAATAAAAAACATATTACCCACCCCAACAATATCATCTGCTATCATTTTCCTCGAATAAACCTA